AATCCCGTCTTAAGCCCGCTCAGACTTTGACGGATTTGTCGGAGTCACGTTTTCCAGTCCATTCTTACCCCCCACACCTCCACCCCTCTTTATTTTCATGCCTCTCTTCTCACCCCGTACCCCTTTGCGGTGTCTGAAATTTATAGACGGTCGAACCGATCCAATACCTTCTTAAAATCTAAAGCCACACTTTACTCTTGTGACGTCATTATTAATGGGTAACGTCTGTTCAACAGTGACGGTGTGGTTTTAAAAATTTAAACATTTACAAGAAATGTAGAAACATTTTTTAATATAATTTATGGATGATAAACATCAGATCAAATGAAAAAATGCCTATTTTTCATCTGGTCGGGCCCTAAGGCCCAAGCAAAAATTCGGGGCCTCTTATCCAATAAAATTCAAAAATTCTCTTGTTAGTTTGGGTTAAAAAAATAAAATAATTATTTTAATTTTTTTATTAATTTTCAAAAATGCATTAATAATTATATCAATCTAAAGCTTATTTTATTTAATTCTATTTACCTTATCAGAGGTAACTGTTTTCTTTCTCTGCTATGTGAATTTACATTTGAAATTATTAATATTTTACAACCTTTAACGGGCCCCCGAGACCACCGGGCCCAAGGCCCGGGCCTTATTGTAAAATAGGCCCTGTAAAGCAGTCACAAGAATGGCCACAAAACAGTGGTTGGCCAACAAATCTCTAGAATGGTAGAGAAATTCACCAGGGCAGAGGCAGGTGAAAAATTTCATAGTAGGACATTTGCCAAATTTTGAATTTAAAATTTTGCCAATTTTTACTTTTATTTTATTTTTTTTAGACTTGATAAGCCAAGAGATGTACCAAAAATGTCGCTCCCTTTATCACTGCAACAACAGCTATAGAGGGGGTAAATAATTTTACTTACTTAGGTAGTATAATCTCAACCAAGGAGGCGCAAGATATCATAAATAGAATAAACAAGGCCAGAATAACATTTGGAATGCTCTACAAAATTTGGAGATCTAGACAGTACTCCCAACTTACTAAACTTAAAATATTCAATGTTCAAGAAAGTCAAGTCTGGTGCAGAGACTTGGAAAATTACATCGCCATTAATTAACAAACTCCAAGGTTTCATAAACCGCTGTCTGCGAAAAATTGTTGGAATATTCTGGCCATATCCTATCAGAAATGACGGTTTATGGAGCTTGACCAAGTACTAGAGGCAGGTGTATAACGAGATCAAACTTGCTGACAGGGCTATTGAGAAGAATCAGAAGGCAGTCCAAGACATACATGGCAAAGGACAATTAAAAAGGAGATCGAAGCAGTAAACCGATCATGGCGAGATGTCAAATCAATTACCAACAACCGAACCTGCTGGAGAGCGTTTATTGAAGCCCTTTGCTCCACGTAGGAGTAAATGACAAAATGAATGAAATGATAAGCAAAGGCAGAAAGACTGTCAAAGTGGTAGTAAGCCTAGTCATAGGGCATTGTATACTTAATGTAAGCATCGTGATTGACGTAGGTTGATGTGATTGACGGATGAACCCATGTGCAGGTTCTTTCATTCTGAAGAAGAAACGACGCACAGAAGCATATTTTACATCAGTATGACAGGTTGGCAAATATACGGTTCTTTGTATTAGATATAATATAGTCATAAGCCAAAAACAGCTATATGGAGGGTTAATTTTCTGAGTTTGCTTCTTTTGAGTTCATCCGTTAATCCTATCAGCTTTGGATGCCTATTGAGCATCGAGCCTGCAATGCCCTGTTACCAGATTCACCACAAGTTTGACAATCTTCCTGTCTTTGCGTATGAGGTCTGCAGTAAATTTTGGCAAGTGTTCTACTATAGACTTTTTATCTGTCTCTACCCTGATACATTTTCCCACCATCCTATTCATATGTTGGCCACTGCAGCGGAGTTCTGGACTTATCAATGACATTGATGATCCTTGTATTTAATACGCATACAATCTACACCAGTTCTAGTCTTCTTCAAAATTGTAAGTGCTCTGGCTTAATATCTGAGTTGGTGTTGTCCAATTCGACTGACGTTTTCTAAGACAAATTTCTCTGGAAAAATTTCGGATATAATTTAATAGATTTGATAAAGTTATATATCTGGAAAAGTTTCATATCGATCGTTTTCGACTTATAAATATTTATGCGGATCGGAATTAGATGTAATACCTACCTGTCTCGAATAACTTAAGAAAGGAAAAACGTGAAATATGATGATATTATTCGTAAAGTTTGTAAGTATTTATTTGTTTAGATTTATCTTGATTGTTTGCTTATGGATTATAACTGATTATCCCGTTAAATTTTCATTAGTATAGTAGAGAATCCAGTATAGTAAAAGAATAATAAGCAGATAAAACAAAACATTGTAGATTGTATCGGAGGGGAGAATTTAACTACCTTGTATAGATCTATTGTGTTCGCCTCTCTTGAGTTATAACTCATCATATAGTCTAAGAGATTTGGTAAAAGCCAGTATCTGAGATGATTTTACAGAGGTTAGTTCTCCATATCCGATATCAGTCGTACCAAAATTTATGACACGAATTACGAATTATTAGCTTACTTCGGGTTTCTCTTATTACCGATTCTGAACCGTCCTAGAACTGTGATGCGTATGCGCAGAAGGAAATATGAAGACATTATTTCATTTGCGCATGCGATGCAGAGTTCTAGGAGGGTACAGAATCGGTAATAACAAGATCCCGAACAAAGCTATTGTCGTCTCGGCTCACTCAATATTATGAGGTGTTCTGGTATTTTCTTATTTTCTTAGTGTCCTGTTAAAAACCTCGTGGACAATCCAAAGATTGTTCTTACATAAGTCTTTAAATTTACCGAGGAAAATCTTTGATTTTTATTATTAACTATCCAGCCCCGTTCCTGGGGTATCTGGCGCCTACGTGCAGCATTCTTTGGTGCGCCCTTTTTATATTTAAATCAATTATATATTTTAATCTTAATCTCAAAAATTTAAAGAATTTATATTCTGTGACAAACGAGCAATATGTCATTGGAAATGTAAAAAAAACTATTCTAATTAAAGTATAAAAACATTTATTTATAAATAGTACCCTAAAGAAAAAAACTAGCACCCTAAAGAAAAAAACTGACCCATTTTATATGAAATACATAAAAACAATAAACTAAAAATCGGAAATAATATGCACGTACTGATTTCTTTCGAAAACCGTCAACTATGAAACTATGAACCCTTCCCGGACGGGTACATTGTGAGACAGGAAATTGTAGAGAGAAACAAGCCCTATAACATAGGATACAACATTTTAATGAACAATGCTTTCCATAAAATCAATAAAATGAAAAATATACGAAATAATATACATGCACTGATTTCTGTCGAAAATCGACAACTATGAAACTATGATCCCGTCCCTGACACAAATGGTACATTGTGAGACAGGAAATTGTAGAGCGTAACAAGCCCTATAACATAGGATAGAACATTTTAATGAACAGTTCTTTCCATAAAATCAATAAAATGAAAAATATACGAAATAATATACATGCACTGATTTCTGTCGAAAATCGACAACAATGAAACTGTGATCCCTTCCCCGACACAAACCGTATATTGTGGGACAGGAAATGTAGAGAGAAACAAGCCCTATAACATAGGATACAACATTTTAATGAACAGTGCTTCCCATAAAATGAATAAAATGAAAAATAAGATGAGATCAATGTGTTGCCGACAGATTACCCTAGACTTGTTTATTCGGTGCGTATGTATGTTTAAGTATTTGTTTATTAACAAGAAAGTGTATCGGTTTTTTGTTACAAAGTACTGATTGACACTTCGATTTTGCGCCCCCAAATGTTGCGCCCGTAACTATCTACTCAATATGTTTATTTTTTGTCAATAATGACATGTATTGACGATTTCCATTGTAAATATCTTGAGAACGGTTGCTCGTAACGACTTTTACCAAGACATTTTTTACGTAGAAAGTCACGGAGATGTATATTTTTTCACTCAGTAATTTTATACAGGTACGGACGAAAAGTTATCACTCTTCAAAACAGTTAAAACACGTGTAGGTGGCGCCCCTTACAAATAGGAGTCATTTTAACATCAAAATCAAATTTCTCATGTCAAAAAACTGCCAGAAACGAATTTTTATCCAAATGTTGACGTTACTTCAGAAATTATTTGGAAAAAATCGAAATAAAAATGAAACTTCTACACCCTGTATCTCCGAAACTAAGCATTTTAGGATATACATTTATACGAACTTTTTTATTTATTTTTATCTGCAGAATATGCTGCCGAAGTTTTCGGAATACAGTTCGGACCACCCTGTATATGCAGAGTGAGTCTTAAATAAGTAAAAAAAAATGATTTTTTGTTAAAATTTTGAGAACCACTGGATCTTTTCTGGATTTTCTTTCTTGTAAATTTAATCTACTACCTATGTTGCCATATTATCAACAAATTATGTTTTTTAACTAAAAACTAAAAATATCTCCAATTTTTTTTTCAAAATATTCCAAATTTTCAATATTTTTTTTTTCGCGTAAACAAATCCTGTTTCTGGTGTCGAAATACACTACCTCTTAACATATTTGCACTTATTTACGACTCCTCCTGTATAATGTATAATGCGTGAGTACTATTCTTGAAAAATGTGTCCTCTATATTTTGCCGCCCCTCCTGCGTCCATCATTGGTTGACTCAAAATTTGGTCCATTTAGATTTTACTAAAAAATGGAAAATATACATATATGTTGATTAGACTTTCCCTATCCGCCCCTGGCTATTCTTAAGAACAGAATATTTAATACGGCCGTAAAACAACTAGCTGGCACCACACAGGAACCGACCGACCAACCCCCAGGCCCGACCCTGCGCCCAGCTCTCCGTTCTGCGCCTCCTCCTAAGTCCCGGCCCACACGATCGCGCTGGCTCTGTCGCCGCCACCGATGCAGCCCGCAGCAGCAGCAGCAGGAACAGCGACAAACGCCAAGCAGGAGGGCGCTCACAGAACGTGCCGAGTTGCCGAACTAGCCGCACGTCGCCACAGAACATCGCCAAGCGACGGTTCGTCGTCTTCTTCTTGTCACGTGTGGCAACGCCGCCGTCGCTCCGGTTTTTTCTCTTCTTCCGATTCTTTCGCGAGAGAGGCTGGTTTCACGGCGTGTTATTGTTGTTTTGCAGGAGATTATATGGACGAAGATGGAAGCCGTTGTACCGTCGGAGCCGAACAAAGAGTTTGTTGTTAGTGGTTCTCACAGTTCGCGGATGTGAATTAGATCTGTTTTACGAAGGATTTGTGCATAGTATTTTTGATATTTGTGTGCCGGCAGTTGAGTAAAAGACGCAGTAGTTTGTATTTGGTTCTTTGTGGCCTGGACAGTCTTCGTTGTTTTCGAGGTGAGTTAAAAACAAACTTTTCTTGACTTAAATTCGACGATATACTTGTTATATTTACTATTTAACATACAAAAATAGTCCCATCTTAACTTTAAACCAAGAATTTGTGTACATAACCTAACCTTACCGGTTTATTTCATCAATTTCGGTGCTTGTCAGATATAACACCCTCCGAATTTTGTACTTTTTTTTATATCACTCGAAAGCATACATCGAAATAAGTATTTCAAGCCAAAAAAAAGTGTGGATGATCCATAATTTAATGAAAAAATTAACATATAATTATTGCTACAACAGGCTATTTTCTATGCGAAAACTCCTCCAAATTTTGTCGGCGTTGCCAGATTCATTCATTTCTTCTTGATAGGTTCATTAAAAAAACACGTGTGCTGGTCGGAAGAAAACTGGCGTTAAGAACAGATTATAAATTATTTTAAAATCAAGAAAAGGCGATCGCCTGAGGAACTGCTCCTACCCATAGCTGATATTTTGCCTACGATATCTGACTATTGATAACTACAAAGTTGCACGAAAGAGTTTTGATTATGCCTTGTTAGTACCTACATAACTACCTACCTACCTTAACTTTTAAGACACCTTATTATCCTAGTTTAAGCTCAATGGTTTACTTTCTCGTATGAGGAAATATTGCGGTATATGTTTCATTGACTTGCTATTGTTTAATATGAAAATAAGAATTACCTACATTGTAATTGAAATCTATATTATTTATACATTTTATACAAGTCTGGTATGGTATTTGAGAAATGAGAACAAAGGTATTTTTACATTTTATTTATAATAAATAGTTTTTCCCTTGGTTTTTTCTAAATCATAATTTCGCTTTACAGAGGTAAATTTGTTGTATTTTTTTCTATTCTGAATATTTTGGATTTTTTTCTCGGCTTTTGGATAATCTGATCTTAGCCACACTGCATATCAAGTGGTGTTTCATTGTTTATTCACTTAACACAACCTTGCTGGTTGCTAACTCTTGCTTGTTGTTTCCCAACTAGTAAACGTATTCGCAACAGTGGTTTTTACTGATATCTGATCCAATTTTACGGTAAATATCATAAAGGAAATAACCTAGTTAATACATACATATTTAATTACATGTTAATATTTGTTTTTGTTTATACACATATCTACGTATTTCATTTCGTTCTAAGCAATATTTTTTAACTTAATTTAAATTATTTGATAATTTTAACAGCAGTAGAATTTTAGATCTTTAAATTAACAAAAAAAAGCTATGTCATAATATTTGATCAACGACAGATAATAAAAAAGGAATCTTTGTCATAATATGTGTTTAGATAACCTCCAAATTGTGTAAATGCTAATTATTGGACAATATGACAAAAAGTAAACACATACCTATATTCGGCACAGATGTGTGTACTTATTGTTTTTTAAATTAAAATTTCACCTTGAAAAAATTATATAGTTTGGTATCTTATTATAATATTTCATAGATTAGGTATTTTAGGGCTTTAAAACATGGACGTCAACCATGTTTTAAAGCCCTAAAATACCTAATAGGTATACATATAAAAAGATCATTTCATCTTATGATTATGTTTAAAGCCATGTCTACACATAACGTTTTACCGGTCAATCTTGCCTGTTCAGTCAAAATGTATTAAGTAAAAACTTGTGTGTAGTTGTAGACGACCGTCTTGAGAACTGCCGTCAGTTTTCTAGACGGTCTTCTGTTTTACCTGACAGGCAAAACGTTATGTGTAGACGGGACTTTATGTGGTGTTACCTTCAAAAATTGATTGAATCAATGTTAAAATATTCTATGTTACGAATGTTTACATATTATTTTGTACCCTCTCGATATAAAATATGTAAACATTTTATAAAATTTTACCTCCTCAAATAATTGTAATGTAAACAATCATTGTATTCAACTAGTGTTTGGGAAATATAAACACCATTATATTTGAATTTATTATGATTTACATGATACCTATTTACTAGAATGATGAACTCCTAATTTAAGGTAGGATGAAATAAATATCCTAAAAATTTCTTGGTGTTCAAAAAAATTAAATTTAGAAGAACTTTTAAGTATTTCTCTAGTTTGGAAAATAATATTTTACCATATTGAAGAGTAAAATCCATTTATTATTAGATTGGTAGATATAAATTATTAAAATGAAAAACGAATAAAAAAATATAAGAAATGTTTTATCGCTATAAAAATTTAAATAAAATAATTATAATTCAGGTTGTATTGTATCTTGAAAGTAATGAATATTTCTATTATCTACCTATTGTCGTTTTTATCTGTCCTTTATTTTATATTATTGTTATAGTTCATTCTAAAGATCGAAAAAAAAACGGCGTCAGAGACGGCTGGGGAATGGGAATCGATGATAATTTTGGCGAGGTTAAACCCTAGCCGTCATTACTTGGCCCATACTCTTTATTTTTTAATGTCGCTTACTGTCAGTTGGCCTTAAGAAGACTGTAATATATTTTTATATTGAATAAAAATGTCTAACATATTTTTGTTATTTTTTTGGAAATAGATTTCTGTGCTTGAAACTTTTTATCCTTTTGTAATCTCTCTATAATTAGTGTCCATTTTTGACAAGTTTTATGTAAATTTTTAGTAAGTGACGTCTAGAGATTGACCTCAATAAAATTATCATCGATTGTCGTTTCCCAGCCCTCTTTGAAGCCGTTTTTTTTCGATGGTATGGTAGTTTTAATTTGATAATCTTTAGTCAATTTTAATTGCGCATTTACTTATTTCCTCTATCAGCACATTTAATATTAAATAATTATAATAATTATACATACATAAGTATGTATAGCTGTAAATTCACTTGGACTGATATACAGGCTCGCAGAAAAACAGAACCAGAATCTAAGAAACCGGTCAAGAACCAAGTCCAGTTCGCATAATAATTTTTCGTACTAATACTACGCGGGATAATTCATTCTTTGTATATCAGTTTCCCAGATACAATTTTGGACAAAATTAGAAGACTTCTTAGGACAAGATTAGAAGTCTTCTAACTTATTAGTCTATTATTGGAAGAAATTAGATACACTGATAAAAGCTCACATGTTAAAAACGAGGTTAAAAATAAAGAACTACTTATCATAAGATTTAAATCGGAGATAAACTATTATATGTATAGAGTATGATGATTGTTAATGTCTTAATTTTAGGTTATTTTGAGAAAAGATATTCTCAGAAAAATTCTAATGAGAAAAGATGAGTTTGAGACAAAGATATATTTTTTTAAATGGGTATTTTTGTTCGTCCATCGTACCTACAACAGTTTCAAGGCTACCATAGGGTTCAACAGACCGGCTGCTTACTGGAATCGACCATATTTTAACCTTCAATGGTTCTCGTTCATTTTCAAGTGCTTTACGCATACATATACGTAGCAAGGCAAATGAAGAGGGCCACAAAACAATACTTTATTTATATACTTATGCCCGATGGAGTAAAATGAGGTTAAGGATTTAACAAATTTAACGTGAAAGGAAAGTTGAGTAAGAATCTTTCATTTTTTTGTGTCTTGATACCAGTTTTCAAAAAATATTAAAGGGCGTCATGGTAGGCGGAGCAATAATACTTCAGTTTAAGTTTTACAGTGGCTGTCGCTGACGAAAAATACCTAGACAGAGACCAACAATTTTTAAACACCTTAAATGGTTTGCTTGAGAATATTTACATATAAGTACCTAATTATTTTGTATTTATTTAAGATACTAATAAGTCATTTTCATGGTATTGTTAGATAAACTACTAATTTCTATGAGGTATTTAAAAAAAGTAACTTAGCATGGGATGTAGTTTCAATACATACCTACAGTTCATACCAAATAAATTTTTGTCACGTGATTAAGCTTGCCCAGCACAGCGTTGCCCATTTTTATATATTTTCCTTTAATCAAAATGTTTTAGAAAACAAAAATAAATTAATTATAAATATATAAACAGTTATTAGTTACATCAACAAAACTCGCTTTCTTAACAGCACGTAAGGGATCTAAAGGACCATTATTAACGCTTTCTCGTTCAAAATATTCTAATAAAGTTGCTATTAGTTTTTTACGAATATTAAGCCATCTTGTACACTTCGCTCTAATAGAGGTTCTAAAAAGAACAATGTTCGACTGATGCAAGGTCTGCTAGAAGATATTTTCAAGCTTAAAGTATCACAACACTATTTATTTAAACCAAAAACTCGTAATATAAAACTGAAGTGTCAAAACGAATGAGAGTGTCAGGAACTAAATAAATAAATGCGGCAGAGCCAATAAATGCCAGCAGAGCTACCACCTGAATCCCCAGCGCGAAATTTAAATTACAGTTAGTTAGCACGGCGCCGAATATGTCCATGGTTGGCAACAATGAATTTAAAAATCGCGCCCTCGATTGCGTAACTAAAAGTTTAATTGGTATGAAATATATTTCATATACATTGGAGCTTCCGCGGCGTATGAGAGGCGCCACCCCTGTATATGAAGGATCCAGGGGAAAAAGATGATGAAAGCGTCATTTTACTAATTTTACCGGAGAGCACCGGATGGCTGGTGGATTCTTTCCTTGTATTCTATATTTTTACTAGGTATGTATCATAGGGTTAAACAACTTATTACCTATAGAGTTTATACAGTTTGTAGGGACCAGTTAAACCTACTAGGGTAAGTCCGGTAGAGATGCCCCACTTTTCTTTTGGGGCTAATAATACATATTGGTAGTTAATTTTAAATGAAACTAATGAAGCAATCCTAAACTATCTTTAATAATAATTCATAATAGGACTAAGATAGTAATATAATAAGTAAGTATATATAATAGTAAGTGAACAATAAAAAAAATAAAATTGGCCATATCTCCCTACGTTGCAGGAGAGATGGCCTTCCAATATGGGAGAAATGCCCCGCAAAAAAATACATATACATATTGGTTAATTATCTAAGGTTATTTTTTAATTTTTTAACTAATATCCAAAAGTTGA